AAATAATTTTTGGCTTGAAAGTTTCTTTAGAAATAGAAATGGGGTTTCTATTTCTAAAATTATTATTAATCATAGCAATAACTAAACATTCAACATCTATACAAGTTTCATAAGCAATTCCATATTTTCTTTCAAACTGTTAGCAATTCATGAAGTTATGGCTGTACATAAGGAAATTCAACACAATTACATTCATACATATTTGAACTTGGATTTTGATTGTACAAGTCAGGAAATACAAAATGATGGTTCCCAAAGCTGCCATAACTTGCTTTCTTACGCATATGTAGTTTATTACATGATTGCACAGAGTGTTAACTTTAATGCCTTAATACACATGTGCAATTTGGCAGAATTATTGCTGTGGTGGGAACTATAATTTAGAATTTCCCGACATTTTGTATGTGTAAAATCTCAACCATAATGTTAAACTACAGCTTTTTAATTTAAATTTAAATTTAAATTTAATAGTTTATTCAAATCTATTCACACTATCACATTTTCCTACAAATACTGTCCTTTGAGAAAAATAAAATTAACTTGCAGCTAAGAAATCATTCTGCTGCTAAGATTCATTCTATTAGATCATAATTAGTACCAGTCTATGGAATAATCCAGGTTTGCAAGTAGTTTAAAAAATAATTAGGAGAGTAAAATTTGATTTGGTTTGAAAATAATGCCTTGGTTTTATCTATACCTTCTTAATTCCACCATGCTTCCTGGTGCTAATCTTTTTCCTTTCCACCAACTGGGCAAAAGACTCACATCTTTACACTCTACAATCATTCAGCATTAAATTCTAAATAAGAGCTTTACCCAGAAATCAAACCTATAAACACATGGAAAATAGGCAGAATAAACTCAATTTCCTTTATGCCCTAGGAATGTAAATCAGTGCTCACTTTCAAGGTGTAAATATATTTCTTCTCCATCACTATGTATGTACAACAGCATATCTAAATTATAAAGTCATGATTCCAATGAAAGATAAATTGTCAGGTTTCTTCCCCTGAAATGGAAGTGAAGGGAATACAAACATTGAGGTGTCACCAATAGCTTTGTCCTTTTGTCCAGCTAATAAGTAGAATCTTTACTATTCTAAAGATGTGTATGGTGAGGATGCTCAAAATACAGCCCAATATAGTCTTCTGCCCAGACTCTGTGGTTTTCAGTTAAAACCTCTCAGATCTACACAGAGGACTAGGGAGTCTTGTTGTTTGGACAGTTGGAAAAGAAAAGCAGCTGCAATAGTAAAAACAGCTAAGATTCTTCCCTCTTACAAATATTATGAGATTGCAAATTGGTATACTAGAAAGCATAATGGACGAGGAACCAGGTTACACATTTGAGTCCTTGCTTTGTAATAATTTATGTGACCTTGGGCAAGGCACATTACTTGAGAGTCATCCTTGACAACTTTCTCTCTTATGTTCCATAGCCATTTAATCACTGAATTCTGTCAATGCTAGATTCTAAATAGCTCAAATGTGACACTTTTTCCCTACAGCCATTGCTACCACTCAGCTCACAGCTATCATGATCTCTTTCCTCAACCACGGTAACTTCTGCCAGCTACTGGTCTCCCTGTGTCCTCTCTTGTATTGCCCTCGCAACTTCCAATCCATTTTCCATTCAGCAGCCAAAATGATTTTCTGTAGAAACACAAATATGACTATGTTACCCCATCTGCTAAAAAGCAAAAAACAAAAAAACAAACAATGGCTTCCACTGCATATATGACATAAAATCCTCCGGAGGACTACAGGACCCCAAACCAAATATCCCTCACCTACTTCTCCAGCCCCATCAGGAGCCATTCTTTCTTCCACTCACTAAACTCCGGCTCACCTGGCTGCTCTCTGCTCTTCCAACACTTCTTCCTAGCCCAGGGATCATCTAAGATGGTGTGTTTTCTGGCTTCAGCGGTCCCCTCTCTTTGCTTAACTCCTACTTGTTTTTCATATTGTAGTGTGATTAAATGTTATTTGCTTAGGGGAGCATTCTCTAACCCTTCAAATTAGCTGGGGTGCCAATTATCTATGCTTATAGTATCCTGCACTTTCCCTTCACATTACATATTACGTGGAAATTAAATACTTATTTGTGGAATTATCTGTTTAAAGTCTCTCTCTTCATCTAGACTGAAAGCTCATTGAGGGCAGGGAACTGTCCATGTCTTTGTCCATGTTGACCACAATGTGTTCACTCAAAACCTGGGACCTAGCAAGCAGGTGGTTAAAAAATATGTGTTTGATGAGTTTAACACTAGTGCCTCAATTTCCTCATTTATAAAATGGGGTTAAAAATTCTTGTTCTATCAGCATCTTGGTTTTTTTCCTGTGGAACAGGTGAACTAATATGCTTATATAAAAAAGTGCTCTGGACAGTATAAAGTACTTCACACATAAAATGTTTTACATGAACATGAACATGTATATGCTTTTCCTTCTGTGAGTGCAGATCTGAGTCACGAAAAGGGTGATCGATGACTAGTATCTTGGTACTGAGGAAAAAAGATTTGTGAATATAAACATTTACCTGTGCATACATACGCAGATGGCATGTTTTTTCTTTTCTTGTAGCTGTGCAGCAGGTAGGAACAGGGTTTGATGGATTTTGGCATTCTCATGGAGCAATATTATGTGATAGGACCCTCAAGCTATAGAAATAGGCCATTTTTTTCCTCTACCTATATTCCATCTGGAACAAGACTCTTCTGTGCTGGAACTTAATCAAACTACATATAAAAAATACTATATAAAAGAAAATCTTGATGAAATATTTACTCTTTGGAAGTAAACCAGAATGTACTATCTTAAACACCATTTTTAAAATCAGAAGACACCTGTTAGTAAACACTGATACATATCTCCTGAGACAAAATGGAAAAATAGCAGCAGAATACAGGATTCCTGCTGCTGAAATGTAACACAAGGAGAAGGCAGCACTATCAGACGAGAAAGACACACAAATAATCACAAACTAGTGTACCTATAGTATCTATGTGTCTTTTGCACCATCAGCATACTTTAATGTATTATTCCATTTAATCCTCATGATGTCTCCATGAAGTATGTTTAGTTTTTATGGGAGAGAAAACTGAGGTTTTAGAAGATAATACTCCTTCTCTCAAGGCTTCACAGCTTGTAAGCAGTGGAGGGAAAGAGTTGAACTCAGGCATTCTGTCATCAGAGCCCTTTCTCTTCATGCCCTGGAGGGTTATCATTTGCTTCTTTATCAGTTACTCTACTGGCCAGTGTTTTATCTTCTTTTTTTGTATTTAGTATATAGCACAGGGCCTAGGACATGGTGGGCATTCAAAGATATTATAGAAAGAAAGGAAAAAAGAACTTCAAATAGAATGAGAAAATGAATCTGTAGTATGTGAATTAAGTGGGGACATGCATTAGAAAGGAAGGTCATTCCAGACAGGAAATAAGTATAAAAATACTCAGAGGCAGAAAAATACAAGTGGAAAGCAGAGGATAATGTGTTCTAGTGGAAGTGGAGTATCTGACTCAGGCTTTAATTGGAGGTGAAGGGACTAAAAAGAGAAGAGAAAGAACACAATTTGGTAAAGCAAATAATGAGTTTAGAGTTAATGTGAGAGAAATGGCAACTCTCATTTTCCCACTGAACAGAAAAGAGGTGCTCAAAATAATACGTTAGGGATATTATCCTTAATGCTATATGTGGGTGAAGCTAGAGAAGACGGAAGTGGACAGTAACTCGGTAACTGTTGCTGTAATTCACTGGTGACTTCAGAGAAGCCTGGATTTGAAATGGAGTGGTCTGGAAATGCCTGAGATGAGTCCCACTGAGTTGACACAGGTAAGTCAGGATTGATAGCAATCAGACAATATTCTCTTCTAAGGGCATTTTATGTCTCTAATTCTTTGAATAGACAGTCCTCAACACATGATGATTCGAGTGCTATCAATTCTCATTTACAGCCCTTATAGCAGGCAGCATCTCAGTGGACTTCTATTAGCCTGTCTGCTGCCTGGTGTTCTGGTACAGGCTTCCCCAGACTCCCCATTTCCCTTTGGTCCTACAGCCCTTCTTTTTAGGCTTGCTAGGATCTAGGCCAGCACCATACAACCCTCCAATGGTGTCTTTTTAGATCCCACTTCTATTACTCAATATAACAGCTATCCCTCCTGAAATGTGGTCAACATGCAATCAATCATATATCTCAGTCTTTTTTCTTAAAAAATTAACAAAAATTTTTAAAAAAGTGTTTCATAACTAACTATAGACAAAAATATAATAATCTAGGTAAGTAGGCCTCTGCAAAAATAGAACCAAAAGTATTAATACAATAGAAAGATTAGCTTAAAACCAATTTGTTTCCCCGTATTATGACAACGATAATGGAACATGCTAGGAGTAGGAGGCTGATACGGACTGGGGGTAGGTGGTACTATGACCATGAGAATGCCCCGAAACAGGTACTGAGTGAGACAGTAAGTGTCAGAAGGGGTAGAGAAGAGACAAAGAAAGGAGGGTTTTTGCTTTTTAAAAATGTAATATCAAACGACTGTGCTAAGAACTTTTTGGGTACTGCAGACCAGCAGCTTCTCATGCTGACTGGTTGGCCAAGTTGGTGTGGGTAACACATCATATAGCTGCATGGCCACATGGCTTCACCTGTCTTATCCACTGGCTTCCACTGCTGGGAAGGAAAAAATGGCAAGGCAGAAGCTCACTCTCCTGGTGTCCTGTGGAAACCAAGCTTGGACTGGAGTGATCCAGGCACTTCAAGTTAGGCTTGAAAAGGAGTCAACACAATGAACAACATACACTCAGTGTCACAGCTTTCAATAGCTGTTGCCCAAGAATAACAAACATTTCAGTAAAGTGTTCTTAAATTGGCTAATAAAATATACCTCTCATTATGAAACAGGCTGATGTCAATATGATAAGAACTACATTTTAACAACAGGGTATCAATTTGGAAAAACCTAATAAGAAAGTAGAATCTATTTCCGACATCCTACCTCTGGGAAGTATTTGTCCCAATCCCACATGGAGCAGCACTTCCACCAAGGTACACTGGGCTGCAACTAGACATGTTCAACACATGGGAGAAAAAGAAAATTACAACAAAAAAGAAACTTGAGAAGTTAATTTGGCCTCATTGACTCTATATTCTTGAAATCAATTGCATATTTTCCTGAGCAAGCCAACTATTTCAAAGAAGAGGTATTTATTCCAGGATCACTGTTTTCTTGGATATAACCTGTATATTCAGGAACACTCAAGGAGTTAAAATGAGTCACAGAAAAATGTGTTTGCCAAATAACGTATGGAACAAAGTAAATACTGAAGAATATAACAGAACATTAATTTTGAGAAACTGTTCACACTTTTTTTCATGGCAGAAAATTATTTACAATAGCAATAATCTCCCACTGAAGTTCCTTTACACTAAGGGGTCACAGACCATAAGAACACTGAAGATATTGCTATTGGTCTTTCTCCTGAAAGCCGACCAGTACTTCGTTGTTCAGTGTCACTACTGCTTAGATGCTAACAAAACCTATCAGACTATGCTCATAGTGTTTGCTCACCAGTGTGTTTAACTCACCAAAGCAATCTCAGCTTACCTTTTACCAAGGCCCGGAACGGAAGCTCTGACAGATGTGTTACCTGAAGATTTAGATTTTAATTTCTGTTAAAAAAACAAACAATAAAAGGCCAAGGGTAACTTAGAGAATTTAACATGAAAACCAGCATTCTTTATGACAAGAAAACTTTTTAAATGACAAATAAAAATTTTGTATTATTTCAAAGTTTCTGAAATAAAAATAATGATCAAAACCTTTGAAAGGCAAGAGTAGACCTCCCTGAGGAATGTGCAAATTACTCTGCTAACTTTTAGTCTAGGAAATTGATATACTGCTATTATTAGCATGCTAAGATTTACAGTCACTTTATAACTCTTCAGTTAATACTAGAGTTCATGATTTAATATGAAGGACCTGCTATTTAAAACTTCATACCAGAAAAATTCAATTGAGGAGGAAAAAATTCCTCAGACTCATTTTTAAAGGCTGTGAATGGTAATCACCTGAACTAAAAATAAACTAACCAAACTCCTGGGTAACTTCAGGAATATTAATTTTGATCAAATGGCATGGTATCAACCAAGAGACATTCAAGGAAAACGTAGAGCTACCTAGTCACAACCATACAGTAGTTCCTATATGGTTACACATCATCATCATTAGCAAGCATTTATTAAGTGTTAACTGGTATATGGTACCAAACAATATAAACCAACCAGTCACTCGGACCACTGCCAAGGAGAGGAAGTGAGTTGGAGAAAAGGCAACTTAAACTATGCAGAGACATGCCTTCATTTTACCTAGTAGGTGAGGAAATTTAACAGAGGCAAAAATACTTCGTTTTACTATTTCTCTTAACTCTTTGATGCGTGTCTGAAAAATAACACGCATGAGGCTCTTTTTGTTTTGGGGAACGTGTTTTGTGTACCATCCAGGCTCACACTTATGACTCAAAGCTGGCACACTGACATTTCTTGTTTCTGGGCTTTATTGTGTGGGTCTCGGAGCAGTTCAGAGACACAGAATGGGTGGGTGAGCAATGGGGAAGGAACAGCACTCTCAGGAGCATGATCAACCTCCAGGGACAAGGCAGGCATGGACCGGCCATTCACAGACACCTCTTTCCTTCATCACATCAATGTTTTACATAGACCTGCTCTCGTCCAGAAGTTTATTTGGTTGCTTTCTCCCCGGCAACCTGGAAAACTGGATATAATAACTAAAAAAAATGGAGCACACAGAAGAAGGGCATAAAAGTTTATTTTTTCATGATTTTAAGAGCTACTTTTATTTCATATTATATACCTCACAGCAAACCAGAGAAGTATTTCCTTCTGAAATGCCTTGAACTGAAGAGATAGTGCCTCACATACAGATATGCAGCCTGTAGTACTTAATAAACAATGAATTGCTCAGATGATCAATGAATAATAACATCATGCAGTTTTTTTCCCTACTATTAATTACATTAGCATTGCTATTCGGCATTTATGATGCATTCTGTTTGCAGAGTATTCAACACCATTGCTATTGTGTTGACATGTGAATCAACCAGGCCATCAGCTTATTAATTTACCTCACATGAATTGAAATGTTAAACTTAGATTAACACAGATCTTATGATCCATACTGATCATTTGATTTTCAGTCTGGTTAACAAAAATGTAAGTGTCCTATATCCATATCCTTAACTTTACAATTGCCGAATCATTTTCAGTCCACTGTCTTGCTTTAATCTTCTCTACCTTTAAACAAAAACCTCTTTCATAATATATCTATTTTTTAGATTTTTTTCTTTGTGGTCCTTGTAATTTAGACTTCCATTTTGTCTCTTTCTTTTAAATCTAAGAAATATATTTTGCACTCACCAAACTGGTAAAAATTAAAGTATATAAATTTTCATACACTGCTGGTGAGAAGAATATAAATGACATAGTCACTTTGGAAAACACTTTGGCAACAGGTAGAAAAGTTGAAGATGAGCATACTTTATGACCTAGCAATTCCTCTCCTAGGGTTTATACAGCCTAGAGAAACTCTCATACGGGGATAAAAGAAGACATGTAAAGATACCTGATGAAGCACTGTTTGTAAGAGCAAACAACTAGGCATAAACTAAATGTCCATCACCAGGGAAGTGCATAAACAAACGGAGGCAGAGTTACACAATGGACTATTATACATCAGTTAAAATTGTTTATAGTTATATACATATGTAATAAAAGTATGGATGGAAAGGATAGTGGTTACTTCTTGGAAGGAAGGCAGTAGAGTAGGATTTGGAGAATTCTTAACTATCAAATCCTAAACTATATCTACAATTTTTATTTCTTTAAAAAAATCCCGAGAAGCAAACATGGCAAAACGTTCAGATATGTTCAGTATGGGTGATAAATATGTAGATGCCTGTTACTTTATGAGCTTTTTATAAAGATGATATAGATACATAAACATTTAAAAAATTAAAACATTAACAGTTTACTCATTGGCTCATAGGATAACAGCAACGGCCTTGCATCTGAGATGCTAAGCATATTCCTATAATGAAAGCTGTTTGTTTTCAGTCTTTCAGAAGAGTGTTCTTAGAGTCTCCGTATAAATACAAACAGCTTCATCTGTGAGTTGACTTATGCTCTAACAGCTTTTCTAATTTCTCATTCTTGCTGAGAAATCAACAGAAAAACAGATATTGAGAGTTTCTAATATTTTATTTCTTCTGTAACTCTAAGTGGAATAATTTCTTTAAATAATTTAATTTCTCAGAATTCAAAGGACTTTAGATATTTGTGCATTCTAGATGCTGTCACACTATTTTATACGTCTTGAAATAATAAAAGAATTATTGTACATTTATAATACTTGACTTACAAAGGATTTTCTGTCAAAGTTGGGCTCTTCAAATATTTCATTAATAAGACTGTCAAGATCATCTTCTTTCTTACATGTTTCTGTTGATCTGAAAAAAAAGCAGCTTAAGATTAAGTGCAGACAAAGTCAGTCAGTATGAGAAGAATTTTATTTAAATAAGGTCCATTATGAGAGTTAAGGACATTATGTGATATTAATTCATTTTTTTCCTACTATGGGCATAGCCTATAGTAGTGAGACATGGTGAGACAAAGCAGTTTCTCAGGTACAAATTTACATACGTACTTTTACATGCTTAAAATAAGACATTTAAAGCTATACATTATAGTCACAAGAAAACTGGGCATGCACTTTTCTAAATTACATCAACCACTTACTTAAAGAATACAAAATATGTATAAGTAGAACCTGAGAATTACAAACAAACAATTTTAACGAGTCTAATTTTTTCCCTAAGGGTTATATTTTAAGTCAGATAATCATCTCTCTTTACTGAGGAGCCAAAGGTTATATAATCTAATGACCAATAAAAAAGAGCCATATCTGCTTGACCAAATATCTCAATTACTTCTTTACCTTCTGCAGATAAAGCCATCACACGATTATTGATACAAACTGTTACGGCATGGAACTTCTATTTAGTAGTAACATTTACTGAATTCTTACTATACAGATGAAGAAACAGTGACTGAGAGATTCAGAAACTCACCCAAGGTCATACAAATAGCAGGAAGAGAGGCTTGGAATTCAACCTAGGTCAGCCTGTACACCTAACACTAAACAAGATGAACTCTCTTTAGAATTTATATGTTACAGATGCTGTACATCAACTTCATAACTTCACTGGGCCATTAAGTTACTTGTTTTAGAAGATAGGTTTTTTAGACAAACTCTCTAATTTTAGAAATGTATTTACTCTGAAAATTCCTAATATCAGGAATAGAGTCCCTCTTCATTACTGTGTGGAGTAAGACAATTAACCTGATGTAAGAAAATCCAGAGACTGTTGCATAATACTGAATGTCTGAGTCCATCTATCTCCATGCTTTGCCTAGTCCAGTTGTTCCCTCTCTAAATTTTATCCTTAATGTGTTCCACTCTATGCTGGCTTCTTCCCTTGACTTACAAGTATGCTCAAGGTTTCCCTCTTCAAAGAAACACTTCAAAAAGCCACTCTCTCTTACTCATTACTGAAGAGTAGTCAATATCCACTATTTCTACTTCCTTACAACCAGATTGGATTTAGCATCAGTTAGTGACCTAGATGAAGGTTTTTCAACCTTGGAACTACTGACATTTTGGGCCAGATAATTCTTTGGGGGGTGTGTGTGTGGCAAGGGCTGTGTGCATTCTAGGATGTTTTATAGCATCCCTGACTTCTACCCACTAGATGCCAGTAGCAAATTCTTCCCCAGTTGTGATAATCAAAAATGTCAAGAGATTGCCAAATCCCCTCAAGTGGGAAAATCATTACTGGTTGAGAATTATTGACCCAGTTTAAATTATTTAACCTCTCTGAACCTCAGATATTTTATTTGAAAAATGAGATCTAGACAATTATTTAAAACTTCTTCCAGGTATAATATTCTATCTCTGGCCTCTATGTCCCTCAACTATATTGAAACTCTTCTTTCAAAGGTCACAGCTGCCCAAATCACTACACTGAATGGCCTTTTTCAGTTCAATCCTCTTTAGTCTTTCAGGAGTATCTGACACTGTTGGGTACCGATTCCTTCAATTTCTTTTATGACAGCAGGTTGCTAACGCATCCTCTTGAAATTCTCTCTTCCTGTGGTTTTCATGATATACCACATGGGTTCTCCTGTGGTATATCATGGAGTTCTCCTTTCTCCTTTCTCATGGAATTTCACAATTTCAAGAATCAGATGCATTCAAACTTTACCAGCCTAATCAGTACTCTTTGGGATCTAAACGGTCAGTTCCAAACAGACATGAGATTCTGGTCTGTTACTAGATCACACAATTTCATGATGCCTACACTTGTCTATGCTTTGCTATAGAAATGGAAAAAAAATGCCATAATTTCACTGAGACTCATACAAATTTTAAAGGACAGTGTAATACTTTCTTTTTTGGTCTTTTGATGCTATAATACAATAACCTTAATCAAAGATTAATAAGCATTCATTGGTTCCCTCCCTAACTTTGCTTCTTCCATTCTAATTTTGACTAAAGATATAGTTTCTGTGAAATACAAAAGGTATACAGACAAAAGATATATAAACACTTGAAATTCTCAATTAAATGTGAAAGGTATATATAAAAGCTTAAAGCTAGATCTACAACGTCTTTGCAGACTTGGAAATATGACCTCAGGCAAGTAACTATTTTTCTAAGTCTTGGGTTTCGTCAGGGTAATGGGGCAATAACAGTATTCACCTCATGGGGTTGCAGACATTAAATGAAATAACACACATAAAGCACTCAGCATATAGAAAGGACTCAATAAATGTTGGTTATTATTATAGCTATTATCTAGGAGGTTACGATACCTGTAAATATTCCCACCCGTATCATCCTGAATCACATTATTCCTACCGCAGTTCTACTAAACCCACATCAGTTTTTTTTTTAAACTAATATATTTCTCTTTTCATTTTGAACACTTCAACAAATTGCATGTGTTCTGACCACTTATATTAGCAGTTGTTCCTGGTATCCAGATGTAGCATGATCAGTTATTTTATTATTTGCAGAGCTATCACTTTAATGGACAATTTCAGTATTTTAACTCTTACAAGAAAAAGAGATACAAGCTATATGGCTATACAATAAGCAGGTGGTCTCCTAGGAACAAATTCATAACATAAATCAGTTCCTAACTTTTAAATATCAATTTTAGCTCAAGGCAAAATTTTAATCTTTGACATTATATACTAGAGAGGGACTGTATTTAGTATTAGGTTTAGGACCTCTGTTGCTGTTTTTTGCATAATTTACCTTTACAACTACATTGCCAAATGAAAAGTTTTAACATGTGAACGACAACAGCACTGGTTTGCTACAACTTTTATAAATGTATTACTAGAAAATCTGATGTAGTAAGACAGGATGGGGTGCTAGAAGCATTATAGGTGGACTTTAGTAGTACAATAACAGGATACAGAGAGAGGCATAAAAGGACCTGTGCCTGGAGAGGATCCATCTTAGCAGCCCCTTCCATTTTGAGCAGCCTGCTCCAAGACATCCTACTCTTTGCACATTAGTTTTCCTAAGATGAACAGGCTCTGGAAGGCTCTTTGATAAATTTTCTCCATCCCCCAAGGAAACAAATAAAAATAACAAAAGAAATTGGAAGGCAACATTGCTGTGGGATAAGGATGGTGGATGTGCTGGGAATGAGTATATAAGGACGCCTAGCATATAAGACAATAATATACAAATTATTAAGTGATATTTGCATAAACTTTCAGTCAAATGAGCGTTAGCCCATTCAAATTAGTCACTTTAGTTGCCCCTATATTTATTGTTTAGAATGCTGCCCAGTAATCAACTTATTTTTAGAACTTCTGTTTCTGAACTTTAGAATCTTTTCAATGTTTTTATCTTCTGCGGGTGAATTTTTACAAACAAATGTCATTAGAGGTAAGTGTGGTAAACTGAGTAGTAATGGAGTTGGGTAATACTTCTGGGAAATCACACACATGCACACCAAAACAAAATGAAACAAAACCCCCAGATGCAGCCATAAATTAACAAGAATGACTTTCTTGGTTTGATCCAAAGCTGCCTCTGTGTAATTCCACAAGCACTTCCAACAGATTCCAGGAAGAGTTACTGCAGAGGCTCCCAAGTCATCACTATGAAGGACTATACTCATCCTGATGCAAAAATTTTGTTCTTTTGGGATTGAGTGGACGATGAAACCAAGAAGGAAGTCTTATTAATTTAAGACTACACGGAAGAAAAATGACAAATTTCAAAGGTAGTTTTTCGGATCAGAAACTAAAAGACTCAAGAAACCTCCTCAAATTTCAATTTGGATGCCAGAGATCCCCTGGGATCTTGACCTGGAGACCATGGGGAGAAGGAAAGTCGCTGGACTAATATAGTCAGTGTTCGCTAATAATTAACCTTTTTATCATAAATCTAATCTCATCCAATTCTCTTAGCTAATAAAAAAGAATCAGCTAATGATGAGAGAATAGCATGGAATCGTTTTCTCCAACAACTGGCCTAAGGATTACTCTGCCTGGGGAATGGGGTCTGAGGCAATACGATGGGGTTCTCTGTGCGGACACCTCACAGAGGGAATGAGACCTGCTCATGTAGACGGAGGCCCGGGTCAGAGCAGCCCCTTCGAGGCTCAGAAGAGGACGCCTAAGCCGCACCCCCTGCCCCCATCAGAACCCCTGGGCTCTGTCAGGGCGAGGCCGCGGGCTCTCAGAGGCGGGGCACCGGCGGGGCCAGCTCTCCCCGGCTTGCGGGGGGCGGAGTGGGGCCTTGGTAAGAGATGCCAGGATCCTAGTGGGCAGGAACATGTGATGTGCCCTGCCCCGCGGGCGGGGAATTGAGGGTCTGGGCCCGGACAGGGAGAGGAAGTGGAGATCGTAGGCGGGGGAACGTTCCTTTGGGTCCAGGGGCGGGGGAGAAGCATTAGGGCCCAGAGCAGGCTATCCCAGAGCAGCCCACCCCTCCCGCCCGTTAACCTGAGAGTCTCTTTCGCCTCGGCTCGGTTCCGGTCGTTGCTGAGGATGCCGCCGCCGCTGCAGCCTTTGGGCAGCTCAACCATGCCCAGTCTCAGTGGGTCTGGTCTGCAAAACTTGGACTCGACCTCATCCAACAGCTCTTCCAGGTCTTTCGCCATCTTGAATCGTCACGTCGCGGCTGGGCTGGGCGGTTACCAGGAGCAACGCAAGGACCCGCAGCGCGCGCCCTCGCATTCGTCGCCCCTGCGCATGCGCGCGCTGTCCGGAGGCTGCCCCAGGAGCCCGCGGGATCTTGGCGCTGTCGCTCTCGCGCAAGACCACCGGTGGGTCCGCGAGGCTGGGTGGCAGAACTGTCCCCGTGGACCGGAGGTCGGAGGTGTCCTTTCCTGCGCGACCTCGCGACGCTTTGTTCTTCGTTCTAGGTTGTCTGGCGTGTTTTGTCCTATCTCCCCCTCCTGGCCCTACCTTGTAACCACAGTCACAAGACTCGCTAGCTCCCTCATCCACTCTTCTTCCGGCCCCACTGGGGTCCGCGTTGTATTCCAAAGCTTTATAAATTCCTTAAATAACCTGCAAAGAACTTAAGGAGACCCTTCCAAAACGAAAACAAATGTGCGTACTGGTAGCAAAACTGTAGCTCTCCGTAGTCGGCAGGATTCGAACCTGCGCGGGGAGACCCCAATGGATTTCTAGTCCATCGCCTTAACCACTCGGCCACGACTACTCCTGCTGTTAGTTTTGGCAGCAAAATCTATGTAGAGTCTGCACTTAAGTGTCTACTACAGTAACACGTATGTTTGGATCGGGAGAAAAACATTACAAAGTTATTCTGTCATGAGAGAGTATTTGAATGCTATGGCGCTAATAATTTTAGGTTTTTGAAGGACTCAGAGCATATCCCGTCAAACCCTTTTTTTCCCATCAGGAAAAACTGAGTTCTCGTCAAAACTCGAAAGTTAATCAGAAAACAGGAGAGAGGGAGGGAAGCGAGGAACTACTGTACACCTACTTGTACAGTGATGGAGCCACTTCCAGGAGGGAACCTGGAATGTTGGGGAGGCTGACCAGCCTCTGGGCTTCCTTGCCTGGTTTCCAGCTCCACCTCTCCACCTCTCTCTTGGACAGATGGCTCCTGAGACTCTTTTTTCACTCACTAGGAACTAAAATCCGATTACTCATCGATTTAAATTCACTGTGCAGGGTCAGACTGTCCCACCGTGCCATAAAAGCGCTACTTTGAAAAGTGTAATGCGTGATACAAATGGAAGGTATTATCATGAAATAGTATTCCTATAAATGCTATGCATGGTGAAACCTGAACTTTGCGTATTTCTAAAGTGGGGTAGAAAAGAGGTTGGCACCCTTGGAAACTCTGGAAATAGTTTGGTCCAGATGATTTAGTAGCTTTATTTATTTGGTTTGTTGTTTATTCAAAATATCTTCAATGTCCCCGAAGAGCACCGTGTTGTGGTGTGCTGGAGCGAATGGTACCTGCTCACCAGAGCCCACCTTTAAATTTTCATGAATTTTGGGAGCCAGTTGTTAAACCCAACCATTATTAAAAATTAAATTAGACAAACTTAAATTAACTGTATTAAAAACAAAAGTAACTAAAAATTCACCACAGTTTAGTTATTTCACTACGTTTTACTGTAATTTATGCTGTTGAGGTTATTTACATCTATTGTATGTGAAATACTATACAATGGGTTGCTACTGTGAATCTCTGCTTAACTTCACATTCAGGGAGGTCACTTGGGTAGCTTGAAATTAGCCTTGGTGGGTGTATTTACACGAGGGAAACCGCAAATGCTACAAAACATGGCTTTTTCTCCCTAAGAGCTGGTTGTTGAACATTTGTCAGCGCACTGCTAATCTTACCATCAGACCAACCTTGAATATTCCCAGCAAGGAAACAATCCTCTTAGCTGCTTTGATTATTTTCCCCATAGCTTTGTTTTAGCTATTAGAATCCTGGTATATTGTATGATTTCCCAATCAGGCCGCCCCCCTCCCCACCTCCCGCGACGTCGTTGTCGTCCCCCCAACCCTGTTTCCTTGCTGGGCAATTGTACTTGATACTCACCTCCAGCAGAAAGATAAGAAACAGGCAGTTGATATTGAAGTTGCCTTTGCAACGAAGTTCCAGGGGGAGTTATGCATAGTTGCCATTAAGTTTAACAGTCTTAAATTAATGATTTGATTTTTCTCTAGAAAAGATGAAATCTGAGGTGGTATGTACCGGTAGTTGCAAGAATCTATTAGGATTTAAAAGATTTGCATGAAGGACTATGAAAAGATAAAAGAGGAAATGCTTCTAGTTGTGTGTTTGGTTTGCATGAATATTAGAAAAAAATGGGAGCTTGTTCTCTTCTTCCTCCACTCCCACCCTATTTCAATAAAATATAATGTGTAGATCATCCAGAGGCTGGTGTTTTGAGAATTTTGTTTATAGCTCATTAAATTTTCCATTGGGTCTTCTGACTTTTGTTGTGTTGTCTTTCTAGTTCGCCTTAGAGAGAGAAAAATCAAGTTCAGAGTCTACAAGGGGAAATGCCACATGTCACATAAGTGTGGCATAAATGTATGGCTGTGTGACAAATTGTAAAATGATAGTGCACTGTTAAAAATCTCTAGATATCAGGAGTGATACCAGGGTGTGCTTCAGTGGACCCTAAACAAGGGAGGAAATGTACAGGGTGAATGTATATATGGCTTTAGAAGATTCTACATTCATGCAAATCATATTAGAAGAAAAATTTGTGTGTGTGTGTGAGGAAGATTGACCCTGAGCTAACATCTGTGCCAATCTTCCTCTACTTTGTATGTGGGATGCTGCCACAGCATGGCTTAATGAGCGGTGCATAGCTCCACACCCAGGATCCAAAGCTGCAAACCTCTGGCCATGGAAGCAGAGTGCACAAACTTAACTACTATGCCGCCAGGCCAGCCCCTAGAAGATAGTGTTTTAAAAACCATATTATATATTCATTTGGTATTTTCTTTTTTGTTTCCAAAGTAAGGAATCATGTATTATCTCTATAATGGTTAATATGTGTAGACAATGATATGAATCCTTGTTCCCTGTCTTTCCCAGTAATAGAAAGCATGCTGAACATCAGATGTTTCATAAAGGATTATAGCCAAATGCCTTCAGATGATACAATTATTAAACATGGTAAAAGGGGCATGCTGTGTATTACTACATTTACTTAGTATTCCAATGAAGTATTTTAGAGAAAAGGTGTACAAAAAAGCCCTGTCGGCTTTTCCAAGTAACTGAAGAATGCTTGGAGCCTGCCTTCTTGCTAGCACCAGTCTAAATGAGTTAGAGGTCGTGATACAGCTGGTTCCGCTGTCCCGCACAGCTCCAGGACAACCCCTTAAGTTACAAGGTGTTTTTTGATCCCCCTGTCTGTTGAAATAATGAATTGCAAGGCCTCTTTGAATTCCCTTGTACTTGGGTTTATTTTTCCCGGACCCGCTTCTCTCCCCACACATCAAAAACCTTCTAAATAAACATCCACTACAAGGCAGTGACAACGGTGTGAGGGGAGGCACCCTCCCAGAACAGTTGCCAGCCTCCCAGCAGCTGATGCTATGGAAGAAATGGAATAGCACTGAGGCAGCTCTTTTTTTTTAAAAAAGTGGTCTCTGAGTTAGGCCTCAATGTCATGTAGGTAAATTCAGACCAGAACATGCAGAGTCTTTATTGGAATTTGTACATTCATCTCTCACAGCTGTGGAGAGTTTAGACTAATCATAACTCTCACTGGAATACTATCATCTTTGTAATTTGAAAAAGGATCAGGAGCCTGCAGGCTTGGAACATCTTGAGAAAACTCTGGCCCTGATATACATCATCACACGTGGGGGACACCACTTGCGGCATCATCGCAGAGAGCTTAAGAAGGCTAAAATCAAGTATTTCTCTGGCGTGATTTCAAATGGCCTGAGAAATCTGAGAACTGTTTTTTTTTTTTTAACTGCAAAACAGATTCTTTCCTCTTCACCCTGTTGCTGTCAATGTGTCCAATGTTAGGTGCCAGAAATGAGCATAGCTCTTAATGATAACAATGCCAAGGTTAACACAGCCGCCAGGGGCTCTCTCAAGAATCTGTTCGGGTGATTTTGATCCACAGACACGTTCTGAAGGCGTGTACCTTCATAGTCTTTCTAGTCTCAGTACATTTCTCTTCAGTAATCTGGATAAAACCTGTCACTCTTTGCCAGATCTTCTCAGGCTTTGGGGCCTCTTGGATGCTATTTTTCATTGACCCCATGTGTCTTTATGGTAAGGCTAGGTTCAAAGTTGGTATTTGGGAAGCAGCCTCTGACAGCACGGAGGCCTAGTGAACTACGGTTATTTGTTCAAAAGGCCAGTATTCACAGATGTGCTATAAGAGTGTAATACAATTTTCTATCCCACTCAGATGGATATTTTATCACCGTCCACATGGCAACCAACAAACAGATCAGCCTGAGGAGGCAAGTGCCAATGTATGTGGCTCAAACCAGTCAACCCTCTGAGGAGTCAGTAGTCCAGCCTCTTTTTGAGGCCTTAACATTAAAATGTTCCTTTCAGTTCTACAGTTCTGTAAGTATAGCTCCCTCTTCCCTCCTCCCTATTTCATATCATTTCTTGCTTTATGATTTACAGCCTTCAGAAAGTTAAACCTGATTCAAGAAAAAGAAAAAAGGATTAGTTGTGGAACTATGGAGGGGAGCAGGAATTTCAGCTAGCTCTTATAATGAAAGCAAAGTAAGGACCAAACTGATGGAGGCAATTGAGAATATCTCAGGCCTGGACTTAGGTTTAGGGCCTATCAGTTTTCTATTTCCCTTGATTGCCTCTTGGGGAGGAACGCAGAGTTTTAAGTAGACCACTTTGCTCTGTTTGCTCAGTCACATTTTCATATGTCAGCCAATCTTTATGGCCTTACAAAAAGATACCTGTTGGTCTCTGAAAGTCCAAAAGCTCTCCACCTATGTGAAAAGCTCATGGAAGTCCCTAAGGATAAAGCCAACAGAGCTAGCACACTTACAATGAACTGCCCAAGGAACATCTTGGGGCTGGAAAGGACTTTAGTGTTTTTGTGTAAAATCCTTTCATTTTACAGATGAAACAATCAAAGCTAGAGAAATGAAACAATTTAGAAATTCTTTGATTTTTTAAGAGATTGTCATTGCAACCATTACATGGTCTTATTTCATTATCTTGCTGGTTATTCTGGATAGGACTATTTCTAGTGGCCATAAGATTGATGACATAAATTTAACATCAGATTGCCACATTTTGGAATCCTTTCATGCCTGGCTTGACATATCAATAAAAAGATATCCTATCCCTTCAAGTTCTTTATC